ATAGATTTATATTCATTATGCATAATTTTAGATAAATATAAAATAACATGTTTCCTTAAGGCTTTTGCAAACATCCTAAGTGTCATTTATACCTCCCTCTCCTACATTTACCTCCATCCCTACTTGCAAATTGAAGCTCCCTCACTGTGTAACCCATTTCCTTTCTCATATACCCTGTAGCCTGTTATCCCCCTCTTTACAGTACCCACTCCCACGGTCCTTCCTTCCTTCTGTGGTTTTAACATTTACTGCAGGTTCTACACTCCAATCTGAAGACTTGGAGCTAGGAACTGCAGATAAGAGAGCACAGGTGGTGTTTGTCTTTGTGGGTCTGGGTTACCTCACTTGGTGTAATATTTACTAGTTCTATCCATTGACCTGAAAATATGATTTTCCTGGTTAATCATTCCCTTGATTGGAAAGAAGAATCTCTCCTCATTAGCTTTCGCTCAACGTCTATTTTGTTGGACATTAAGGTATAAAAGCCTGCTTGAGTCTGGTTCCATTTGATTGAAGGGCTCTCTCATCCTTTCACTGTTAACCCTTCAGGCTTTTCTAAGCTCATCCCAGCTCCTGAATAATGACATGGAAGCTTATATTTATTTACAATGCTTTTGGCCTTAGCTTAGGCTTGCTCCCCAATGAGCTCTTAACTTATAGTAACCTGTATATACTATTCTATGTTCTGCCACATGGCTGGTCACCTCTCCTCAATTTCATATGTCTGACTTCCTCTGCGTTTGGGTGACAAATCCCCGACCCCCCGTTTCCCAGAGTCAGTCAGTCTCTCTCTCTCTCTCTCTCTCTCTCTCTCTCTCTCTCTCTCTCTCTCTCTCTCTCTCTCCCTCCCTCCCTCCCTCCCTCCCTCCCTCCCTCTCTCTCTCTCCTCTCTCTCCTCTCCCTCCCTTTCTCTCTCTCTCTCTCTCTCTCTCTCTTTCTCTCTCTCTCTACCAGATGTCCTGCCTTACTATCCTAACTTTTGCTATAGACCATAGTCGTTTTCTTTTAACCAATCAGAATGTGCCTTAGATAGACAAGGAAGGTCAGAGACACATCGTCACACAGCTGAGATGGGTTTCTTGTAGACAACAGAAAGATGAATTTTGTTTCTGATCCCACTCAGCCAGTCTGTGTTTTTTTGATTGGAGAATTGAGATCATTAATATTTAACTTTAGTATTGAAAAGGTGTGTGCTGATTACAGTCATTTGTTGCTGTGTTCTTAGTCGGGGGTTATGTTTCAGGAATTATAGCTTCATTTGTTTTCTTTCAATGGTCTCTTATCTATCCTTATTTAACTCTTCAGTTACAAGTATTGTGTCTCTGTTCTCTTTAGGGTTATTCTTATGGGTATTTCATTTTAGGCTGTTTGAGTCATGAAAAGTTTTTTCTCTTTCAACTATGAAAGATACTTTTGTTGGATACAGTAGTCTAGATTGGTACTAATGATCTTTGAGGTAGAGTACATTGTTCAAGGCTCTCCTGGCTTTCAAAGTTCCCATTGAGAAAATTATTTAATTACCTGTTATTTTGATGGGGTTTCCTTATATATAACTTATGGGTTTTTTTTTCTTTCACTACTTGCATCTTTCAATTTTTTTTTCTTCTGGATATTTAGTGTTTTAATTACGATATGCTTTGGGGAATTTCTTTTCTGTTCTTATCTATTTTGTATTCTGCGGGTTTCTAGAATCTGTATGGATATGTCTTTCCTCAGTTTGCCAAAGTTTTCTTCTATTATTTTGTTGAACGGTTGTTCTTTGCCATTGACTTGGATTCCTCTTCCTTATCTATGCCTATAATGGATAGATTAGGTTTTCTGATGCTGGCAAATAGTTCCTTTCTTATGCTTTTTATTTCATATTATTTTCTTATATGTCTGATTCCTCTACTTTATCTTCAAGCCCTGATAGTCTATTTTCTAATTGGTTCACTCTACTTGTAGGTGATGCCCTTGAGTTTCCTACTGGAGTATTCTGTTCTTCAAGCCCATCTTCATTTCAGCATGAGTCCTTTCCCGAATTTCTCTTTAGTGAATTTAGATGTCAAATCCTGAATGGCCTTCATCATTTTGCTCAGCATCCCGGTTGTATTTTCTTAAACAACACTCAGAAATTCAGTATTATTCTCTTAAAATTTGATGAGATGTCTATTTGTGTCTTCTTTAAACTCCTTGAATTCTTTGATAAAATTTATGATCTCCTAAATCATGTATTCTCTGATTCATTTAGGTAATTCTCATTAGAATGCATTTCGACAGGACTACTGGGTTTGATGGTATAAATGCTATCTTGGCCATTCATATTGATTTTGCTTTTGTGATGTGACCTGGGCATGGGGACTTTTTTCCTTGGCTCTATGTCTGATGTAAGAGTCTGCCCACTTTAGATTGAACCTGTGCAGGATCTGTGTGAATAGAATTAGGCCAGGTAGGCTGATGAATGTGCTGTTTGACTGAATTTCAGCCTGTAAGGACATGGCAGCAGGCTTGATAGGAGAAGGGAATGGCCACATACCAAGCAAAGATGGCTCAAAAAACAAAGCCAGTTCACAAGCCTTGGTCTGGAGCTAGGCTTGTGGATATGGAGATCTCCATTGCATGTCTCATTGCCCACCACAAAGGCCACACAGCATCTGTCACAACCTACTTACAATCCTATCCCTTATGTGCTTCTTTCGGGGATTATAATGTATCCTCCAGTCCATTAGCCTTTGGGCAATGTTGTTCTCATACTTATGAGGTCAACTCCATTCATAAAGGAGGCATACCACCCTGTACCACATAGAGGAAGATAGCTAGCCTAGGATTTTATCCACTGACATCCACTGGCACTTCACTCTCACATGCTTGGTGTTAGCTGCAGATTCTAACAGCTATTTCAGGAAGTATGCACCAATCACCACATGCTGTACCACTCAGGGAACTGTAGCTCTATTGTAATTGCTTCTCTCTCTCTCTCTCTCTCTCTCTCTCTCTCTCTCTCTCTCTCTCTCTCTCTCTCTCTCTCTCTCTCTCGTGAATGCTTCATCCTTTTGGGACCAGCCTCATTTGCATGTCTTATCATCCATCACAGGGGTTATGCAGCTGATTCTCCCAACTCATCTTTGATTCTGTTCATCTGTGTGTCAAGTAGGTTGTGTGACTTTTCCTGGGGAGATCTGAACAAGTATTAATGCAGATGATAGACCAAGGGTATGAGTGTAACTTGATGACCTAGTACATTTATTGAGGTCACTTACAGAAGTATGAAGAACCCAACGGCAGCTGCATCATGGAAAAGCCCAGGGGATGACTCACAAGAGCTGCATCCCCCAGAGCTCCCTGCACAACTTGCAGGCAACTCTACTGGAGAGTCTCCTTCTCTAGCAATTCTCGACTGCCTTTATAAGCCTGAAGGGGGCACTTGTGAGTCTCCTGACTTTCTGAGCTCCAGAGCCTTGTACTTTTCTTCAGAGTGTTTTACATTTGATGAGCTTCTTTCCTCTGTTCAGGAGGAGTCTCTTCAGTCTAGAAAAAACAGCCAGGAAACAGCCACATTTCCAACACACCTATGTAAATTCCATGTTCACTCCTTCCATGCTGACTACTTCATGGGAGGAGAAGGCAGCATGTGAGGGGTGTGTGTGTGTGTGTGTGTGTGTAGAGAGAGTGAGTTGTGTATGCATGAGTGTATATGTCATATGCCCACATGCAGAAACCAGAGGAGGACACCAAGTGTCTTCCTCCATTCCTCCTTCCCTTGTTACCTTGTGGCAGGGTCTCTAACGGAACTGGAAGCTCGCCATTTTGGCTAGGCTGACTGGTCATCAAAATAATGAGATATCCTCATCTCTACCACAGAGGACTGGAATCACAAGCAAGGAATGGTTAGTGATAATTGTCAGCTTGACAACAATCTGGAATCACCCAGAATACGAGCCTCTGAGCACACCTATGGGAGATTATCGTAATTACGTTGGTGTGGGAAGGTCTGTGCACTGTGAATGGCGCCATTCCCTGACTGGAATCTTAGGTTGTCTAAACGAAAGATGAAATTGGATAGAGACTACCCATTTTTTCCTTCTTCTTTTAACTGTATAAATAATGTTACCAGCCACTTCAAGGTGCTAATGCCTTGAATTCCCCATCAAGATGGACTATGGACGAAAATAAGTTTCTTCAAGTTTCTTTTGTTTGTGTGTGTTTTATCACAACAAACATGTTTTTAAAAGTATACTGCAAGGAACATGCAACTATGTGTGATTTTTTTTAAGTTGGTTCTGGACTTGAATTTAGGTCCTTCTTTTGCTTTGCAAGTGCTCTTACCCACAGAGCCAACTCCCAGCTCCCTCTGTGCTTCTGTCTTTCTATGGGTGCATTTTGAAAACTAGAGTCCTTGTGACAGATAAATAAAACAACCCTGCCCTAGTAAGTCCCCACATCCTAATTTCTGAGTCCTGCAAATGGAAGCTCACACACAGGGTACCTGAACTCAGAAAGATTTACAGGATAGAGGTTTACCTTGGCTCCAAGGTCTGGAAGTTGAAGAATATGATCAAGGTCACTAACGAAGAATGAAGTGCTGGAGGCATACACAGCAGGCATGAGCAGCAGGCATGCGCAGTAGGCATGCACTATAAACAAGTGCAGTGGGCAGGCACAGTGGGCTCCTACATTAGACATGTGTGGCAGGCACCCATAGAAGCAGCAAAGCAGGAGGGGCAAACTAACATTGCAATAACTAGATCCGCCATAACTAACTCATTCTTACGAGAATATCAAGGTACTTAGGAGATGCCCCATG